GCTGTGAAATTAAAAGGTGCTGCTGCTCCTTGGAAGGAAAACTTGACAAACCTAGACAGCCTATTAAAAAGCAGAAACATCACATTGTGGACAAAGGTGCATATATTCAAAGCTATGTTTTTTCCCGATAGTCATGGATGGATGTAAGAGCTGCACCATACAGAAGGCTGAGCACTGAAGGATTGATGCTTTCAAACTGTGGTACTGGAGAAGACTCCTGAGAGTCCTTTGGACTGCATACAGATCAAACTACTCAATTCGAAAGAAACAACCCTGAATATTCGTTGAAAGGAAGTGATGCTAAAGCTGAAACTCCAGTACTTTGGCTACCTGAGGTAAAGAGCTGACTCACTGGAAAACACCCTGGTGCTGAGAAAGATTGAAGGCAAAAGGAGAAGGGGACAACAGAGGATGAGATGGTTGGATGGCATCACCAACTCAGTGCACATGAATTCAAGCAAAGCCGGGAGATGGTGGAGGACAGGGGAGATTGGCCAGCTGCAGTCCATGGGGTCACAAAGAGTCTGACACCACTTAGTGATCAACAATACCGCCTCCCCGACAACAACAACATGATATTGTAAAACAATTATACTTCAATTAAAAGAATAATAAAATTTAAACAAAAGAAATCACATTCTGGAAATTCTCTGGCAGTCCAGTGGTTAGGACTCCAGATCTCAGTGCCCAGGGTCCAGTTCAATCCCTGGTCAGGGAACTAAATGTCAACAAGGCGAGGCACTGCCAAACAACAACGACAAAATAGGTGACTTTCCCTGACCTGGAAACGAGCTGGCTCTGATCAGTGTTGAACACACTCAAATCACGGTGAGGACAGGCCCCCGCCCACTTGGAGGGTGTGCTCACAGCCCAGTGGACACTCTCTTGGAGGGGCTTCCCAATCTTTAGCCTTTCCCACAAAGCCCTTCCCTCTGGAGGTCTCCCCACAAAGGCCTAAGCTAGGTTTAGGTAACAAACCCTCCTGTGGGTCCTCTACCCCTCTGGGGCCATATCCAGGTGACAGAGGAGGAACCATGCTACTCAGGGTACATGCACACAAGGCGACCCCCACAGATATCTGCCAGCCCTGAAAGACACAGGGAGCCAGTCCCAACCTTCACAAATTCCAAACAGCTTCCTCATCCTTAGACGCTCAGCCACATCCCTGATCTTTCCCTTTTGTCCTACGGGTGAGAGCCTGTGTGCCCAAGTAGTGGATATACTTTCCTTGTGGGGCTCCTGATCATGATGATCCATTGTGCAGGTCAGCAGAGGGGGCTGAAACCAGGGCAGAACCCAGGTCAGGGGTCAAGGCCAGGAGATTGAGCCAAAGGACGGTAATATCAGAGCCACAGTGTGACTCCCCTCTACAGAAGGCCAGCCTCCTCCAATCACCTCCACCCGGGGCCTCCAAGTGTTTGCCCTCCTGCAATGGATCTCCTTTCTGGGGCTGGGTGAGCCCTTGAAGCCCTGAGAACTCTGGGCCTGGCTCTCTGCTTCCTGATGCCAATTGGGAGGGAGGTGGGGCTGGGATCTCTACATTGAAGAGATTGGGCCTCAATCTATGGAAGAGAGAAGGGGGTAAAAAGGGGACCTGGGACTTAAACCTCTGGAATTAGAGTCCTCCCACGTCGTGCCCCCACCTCCAGTCCAGGGGTGCCTGGATGCCTTGCTCCTCATACTCCTGAGCCAGGCTTGGATCCTAGCGGTCTTCAACCTGGACGGGCTCGATGGAGACAGAAACATACCTTGGGCAGGAGATCACGGCTCTGCCTGGGTCCACACTGGGCCATCTGGAGACATTTCCAAGATCACCTCCCCATCTTGGTGAGGCACTCTGGAACTCTGTGCTGGGTGAGAGCTGGACTTCAGGGTAGACTCTTGGGACAGTCACCCCCAAAATCCAAACATGGCACCCCCCACCCCCGTGGTGTGCACCCTCCGTGCCCAGCTGGTGGACACCACAGAGTTAGGTCCCTCCCACAGCTACCTCTTGGTGGAGCTTCCACCCTCTCCGGGTCCCGGTCCTCGGGGTCTTAAGCACAGAGACCAGACGCTTCTCTTGCCTCTTCCCTGGCCTCCGGCCTCACCTGCTCCAACTGCCCCATCACGTCCATCTTCCTGTCTTCAGGGACTACATCCTGTGTGCTGGTGAGCAGGGGAGCCCTGGGTCTCAGGACCCCCAGTCCCTGCGGCCACCTCCTCCCTGCCCTCCTCCCCGCTGCGGGCACCTTGTCTCAGCTCCATCTCCCAGTGCCCTCCTCCCTTTTTCTGGAAGACTCAGACGGCAGGTCATCCTGCCGCACAGGTTTGGTGTCGCCTGTAAGGCCCGTGCCTCCTGTCTCCTGTCCAGGCCTGATGGCCGTCCTGGCCGTGGGTTGGCCCCTAGAGGCCCTGGAGGCACAGCCTGGATCGCTTTGCTTTCGCAGCTGATATCAGAGGGATTTCTCAAGTTGGCGTGGGAACACGGGGGAGCAGCCTGCCTGCGGCCTCCGGGTACTGCTCTCCCAGGTCTCTCCAGCGCGCTCTTCACTTTGGGGAAGAACGAGATCTTCTAGCAGTTTCAGACCGGCCCGGCGCCTGGGTGAGAAGCGCTGCAGCAGATAGGGAGAGGGGTCCCTCCGCTCTTCCCCGTGCCTCCCGCCCCCCACACCCCGGGGCCTCCTTCCGCCCTTCCACACGCCCATCCGCACGTCTACCCTCCCCCGCTCTCATGCCTGACTGCCGGCTACTCCCAGGCTGAAAGTACCCAGACTGGTCCCTGACTTCTTGGCTGCCAGCCTCACCCCCAGGCTGGCCTCTCGCAACTCCGCCAGCTCTGAACTCTGTCTCAGTTGATCCCGGCGGGAGGGAAGGGGCCTTGCAAGTGGCTCTGTTGACCACCCTTCTTGTCTCCTGTTCCGGGCACAGTGGGGGTCCCAGACTCAGGTACAGCGAACTCGAGGCCCGGCAGCGCGCAGGTGCACTCGGTCTAGGAAGCAGCGGTTGGAAGAGGTCAAGGCACGCCGCGGCATCCCGGCACACAGGCACCGCGTCTTCACCTAGGGGCACCTCAGGCCCCCAGCAGCTGCCTGGATGACTGTGCTGGAGACTGAAATTAAAGGCTGGACCGTCCTGCGACAGGGTCTCCCCTGATGGCTCAGTTGGTAAAGAAACCCCTTGCAGGGCAGACACCCAGGTTCGATCCCTGGGTAGGGAAGATCTCCTGGAGAAGGGAATGGCAAGCCCCTCCAGTATTCTTGCCTGGAGCATTCCAAGAACAGAGGAGCCTTGGTGGAAATCAGTAGTCCATGGGTTGCAGAGTCAGACACGACTGGGCGACTAACACTTTCATGGTGCGTAGGAGAGTTTTATGGCAATTAGGATATTCTGTATTTTATACAATGGTAGATACACTTGTCTGGAGAAGGCAATGGCATCCCACTCCAGTACTCTTGCCTGGAAAATCCCATGGATGGAGGAGCCTGGTGGGCTGCAGTCCATGGGGTCGCAAAGAGTCGGACACGACTGAGCGACTTCACTTTCACTTTTCACTTTTAATGCATTGGAGAAGGAAATGGCACCCCACTCCACCCTACTCTTTGCTGGAGAATCCCGGGGATGGAGGAGCCTGGTGGGCTGCCGTCTATGGGGTCGCACAGAGTCGGACACGACTGAAGCGACTTAGCAGCAGCAAATATACTTGTCAAAATCCACAGAGCTGTGGGACACAATGAGTGACCCCTAATGACACCTACAGACTTTAGCTGAAAATCCTGTGTCAAGTGTGTTCCATCAGTTGTAACAAACATTCCTAATAATGCAAGGTGTTTATAATAGGGTGAAGCACAGGTGTGGGTGTGTGCCATATTAGAACACTATTTTCTGTACAGCTTTTATAGAAATGTAAAAAATGCTTTAAAATATTTTTAAATAAATTAAGCTTTTTTTTTTTTTTAAAGGTGGGAACACACCTGCGGTGTTGGTGTGTTTGCAGGAGAAGTCCGCATGCCCGGCCTCGCCTCCCAGGGGCCTAGATACTCCAGGAGACCCACAAACAGCCCAGGGGCTCCCGTTAAGGATCAGCTGTCTCCTCCAGATCACACAGTCTCCACTGGGATGCAGTGGGTTGTGTTTTCTGGCTTCTTCAGCAACACCCCCCCACACAGATTCCTAAAGATTCCTGATGACCCAAGCAGTGGACCTGGGTGGCACGCCCCGTATCCCACCCACCACATTGCACAGTCTGACCCAGTCTGACCCACTGGAGAAGGTCAGTGATCACTGTGAGGAGGCTGGAGACATCTGGAGCCCAGATCCCAGGGTCCCCCCATCCACACATTGCTCCCCATCTGAGCAATCCTGCGAAGACCCAAGGACTTGGCCACTCACACCAGAAAGGCTTCCTGGGCTCCTACGGAAATCTTCATCCCTTCCCCCTGCCCCACCCCCTGGGGACCTGGAGCCCTGCAGCAGAAGGGCGGTGCCTGGGAGTCTCCACTGCCCCTCCATCTTCCTGCAGCACGAAAATGGTGCAGAAACAGGCTCGAAGTACTGAGCATCTACCAAAACGTGCTCTCTTTTCTCTTCATGAGTGAGGGGAGCAGGGCATGGTTCCACTAGGGACAAAAGGAAGGGGAAGGGAAAGGGGAAAGGTGGGGGAAGATGGGTTGGAGGCCCACATGCTGGGAAGCCCTTGGACAAAGAGAAGGGAGGGGACACAGGGCAGGTTGGGAGATGGGCAAAGATCTCATTGGTGAGTGTGGAGGCAAGAAGTCAGTGTGGTTCCAAAAGCTAATTCATTTTTCTTCCTCATCTTTCCCCCAGGCCCCTTCTTTTCTCTTCTTGCCTTCTACCTCCTCTTCACATCGCTCTGGTGTTTCTCTGTTCTCCACTTCATATGGTTTGTTTCTGGACCAGAACACACCCCAGCAAAGTGAGCACTAAACAAGGGCCCAGGTAGTGAGAGGTGATAAAGGTGGTCTCCAGGAATTCTTCCCCCACCCTTATCTCTGCCCAAGGAGGAAGGCATTCTCAGTGGATGAGGAATTGGATTGTTTGGAAACACCTGAGGGATTATTTCCCCACTAAGGTCACAGTTCACCCTCCAAGGAATGCGCTCCCTCTCCCTCTCCCCTACCCGCCCTCACCTCCTCACCCATTCCCATGCTGGAGTGTGAGCCCCGGCTGCCTAAGTTCCCACACTGGGGCAGGTTTTGGGATGGTGTTTCAGAGGGGACCCTGGTGCACTTGATCCCATTGTCGTACCTTGAACCCTGAAGTCTGTTAGTGTAGAGGGAACTCTTTATAGCTGGTATCCTGCTTTCTTTACTCCTTTCTTATCATCCTCTCCACCTCCAACAGCTGGTAAAATCCACAGAGTTGGCCCCCAATGGGAACTACTTGCTGGTGGCCCACCATCGTGGGACCACCAGCATCAGAACCTTCTGTAACTTCTGCACTGAGAGCACAGGTTTCTCCCGCCTGTTCCCGGGGCTTCGGCCCTGGTTAGGCACGACAAATGGCATCTTCTACATCCCTATCGCGACGACATTATGGGCTGCAGTGGGTCTTCAGCTCGGCGGGAAATGGCAAACTAACCCCATGTCCTCCAGAGGTGACCCAACCACCACCCAGAGCAGGAACCTGACTTGAACAGCGGCCGGGCTCACAGTGGGCTTTAGAGGATACTTTTGTAGCAAGTGTCCTGCCTCCTTAAAGGGATAGGCGCTATAGGGCATGCTGACATGGGCACAGGGGTAGGGAGTTTGGAAAGAGAGGGATGGTTATTGCAGCCTTCATGTGCCAACAGGTAGGGTGAGAGAATAGGGAGCCAAGTAATGGACTGTCAAATTCTTGCACACCCTCTTTCCTGCAGGGCTACATTCTACAAACCACCAGAGAGTGGATTTTATCCTGTTCCACCCCAGCTTGGCCAGACTATGGCCGTCCTGGTCCGGGGAGAACACAAGGCCCTGTATGCCATCCCAGGGGAGCACTGCCTCACTCTCTGGAATCGTCAAGGCTTCGTCCGCCTGGCACTGAGGCACAGGTGGGCGGGGGCCCAGCCGGGGCAGCCTTCAGTGGTCAGAACCTCACAGTGTGTCTGGGGATCTACCCTCTATCCCGACACACCGCCCCTCTGGAGGTGGACTGGGTGTCCCCAGAGCTACCACCATGAACACCCCTACAGGGCAAACCTGGCAGACCTGTAGTGTTTCTCTGTGCCCACCACCAGTGCCCATTCCCCAGGCTCCTCCCGTGAAAAGAGAGATACGGTCACAGTGCTAATCACAGGACCCTGGGGCTCAGATGCCCTCTGTTGAAATTCTTAATGACAACCACGCAGGCAAGACCTTCCAAACTCATTTACTTTTGAAATAGTGTTAGTACGCCCCTTGCCACCAGGTTGTAACTAAGACAGTATCAGAAAATATATACAGGAAGGCCCTGTATCAGTCTTCTTAAGAAAACTAATTCCCTTCTCCCAGATCTATCTTAGTAGAACTCTCATTTGTCTCAAATGGACTTGGGAAGTGGTAACCTGTGGGGAATAATCTGGGGGTGCTCCTAGAGCCCCTGATGTCCTCTTCTCTCTTGCCCCCCTCTTCCCAGTGTCCCTCTAGTGCCCGTGTACTCCTTTGGAGAGAAGGAAGCCTTCACAGTTAAGCCCCCTGCCCCAGACTCCTGGCAGCATCTGTTCCAGACCACCTTCAAGAAGCTCATATACTTTTCTCCTTGCATCCTCTGGGGCCAAGGTGTCTTCTCAGCCCGGTCCCGGGGCCTGGTGCCCTTGGCCAGACTCATCGCTACTGTGGGTAAGTGCCCGGCTGCAGGGAAGAAGGCCGCTGTGAGCAATACGGGCAGCCGAGAATCCTTCCCTGACCTGAGTCCCCCTGTCCCTGCAGTGGGCCGCCCCATCCCAATGCCCCAGTGCCGGCAGCCCACCAAGGAGCAGGTGAACCACTATCACATGCTCTACACAAATGCCCTGGAGCAACCGTTCGAGGAGCACAAGGAGAGCTGTGGCCGCCCGGCTTCTACTCGCCGCACCTCCATCCAGCCCTGGCCTCACCCCTCCCCGCCTCCCGGCCCCCCAGCCCCTGATCCCAGGGCCTGAGCCCCCCCACCGGCTGCCTGCTACTGTGCCAGCAAGAGCCAGTTCTCTCACCTCTGCTTCGTAGAGTCTCTCTGGGAGTGAGCCTGCCCACGTGGGTTCCATCTCCACCTGATCGAGACAGACTTGCTGCCTTAGACTGAGAGCAGGGCCCTGAATTCTCCTCCCAGAGACTCAATTCTGCTCTATCAGCTTCCGTCTAAGTCTCTTCTCTTGGCTAAGGCCTTTCTCCCTCTGAATAAAGGCATCTGCTTAGTTAAGAGATACAGGGCATCAGAATGGTGGTGGGGAGGGTAGATCCCTGAAGAACTAGTCTCTGGAGTGTGCACAGCGTTTAAGTAGGTGCAGACAATAGGGTAGATGGTGAAACACTGTGACCAAAGGCTGACAAGGGTCAAGAGTGCCTGTCAGAAGGGAGGGTTGGCATGAGCTTTCGTGATAGAAGAGAAAGAGTTAAGTACACAGCTTCCTTCTGCATCTCCTCCCATCCTTCCTGTTCCCTGGGGGCTGGGAGATCACATGAAGCAGAGATTTATTTTACCATATGAAGCCCTACTGCAAGCCCAGCATTTGGTCCACATGAACTCATTCACTCAGTGACAAGGGACTCTTGTCAAAACTAACTTATTAGCATCAAAAAATTTAAAAGAGTTTGGCAAAAGAAGAGCCAATGAATTTATCACTATCGTGTCCATCACCACCATCATCATCACAGGCATGGCACCAGTGAAATATTGTGAGCGACTTTATGTGATCCAATGGACGGGAACCGGCCTGCCAGTGCAGGGGACACAGATGGGATCCCTGGTTTGAGAGGATCCCGTGGAGCAACTAAGGATGCCGAGGATCAGCTAAGCCCAAAGGCCACAACGACTGAAACCTGGCCACTCTAGTGACCAAGAGCTGCAACTCCTGAGCTTGGGAGCCACAACTACTGAAGCCTGAGCCTAGGGCCTGTATTCTGAAAGTAGAGAAGGCTCCGCAATGAGAAGCCCACGCACAGCAAGGCAGAGGAGCCCCCATTCGCTGCAACCAGAGAGAGCCCTTGCACAGCAACAAAGACCTAGCACAGCCAATGATAAATAAATAATTTGAAATATTTGTAATAGTGTTTTAATTTAATTTTTTTCTATTTTATTTTTGGCTGCACTGGGGTCTTGCTTTTGCATGCGCGGCTTTCTCTAGTTGCCCAAAGCCAGGGCTACTCTCTATTGGCGGTGCACGTGTGTCTTATGGCCCTGGCTTCCATGTTGCTGAGAACAGACTCTAGGACGCTCAGGTTTCAGTAGCTGTGACTCCAACTCAGTAGTTGCAGCACATGGACTTAGTTGCCTCATGGCAGGTGGAATCTTCCCGGACCAGGGATCGAACCTGTATCTCCTGACTTCCCAAGATGATTCCTAAGTGCTGGGCCACCAGGGAAGTCCAATTTTCTTTTCATTAAAAAATTATTTCAAAAAGTGATGATCCAGGAATTTCCAGGTGGTACCATGGATAGGACTCTGAGTTCACACTGCCTAGGACCCAGGTTCAGTCCCTGGTCGGGAAATAAAATCCCATAAAGCACAGTGGAGCTCAACAACAAGAACAAAGGACACTTTCTGTGACCTGAAAACTGCTGGCTTATCGCCTCTGGCCACTGTTGAACTGGGCCATGGTCACAGTGAGGACCAGCCCCAGTCCACCTGAGGGTATGCCCAGTCTGGTGGACTCTCTCTTAGAGGGGCTCCCTAGTTCTTAGCTTTTCCCACAAAGCCACGCCCCCAGAGGTCTCTCCACCGGGGCCTAAGCTACTCCTCAGGGATTAAAGCTTCCTGCACATCCTCTACCCTTCAGGGCCAGGCCCCGGGGAAAAACGGGGAGCCCTGCTATTCAGGGTACACACCCACATGGTGAGCCCCACTGGCCCAGACCTCTGGCCTTGGGTGGGCCCAGGGACCCGCTGGAGTCAATGCCCAGATCCCAGATCAGATCGCTGAGCTTGCAGATCTGCCATCAGAAGGGATTTGTCAATTTGGCACTGGACCTCCGGTGAGGAACCCGGGAGGTGAGGAGGGGTGGGGTTGGTGTCCAGGCCAGGCCTGGCCTCTCTGGCAAGGCTGCTGGGGAGGAGCCCCGCCTCCAGGGCCCCAGAGTCAGACGTCCCCTGTGCCCCCAGAGACTCCCCGGTGCCAGTCTTCTCTTTGGGGGAGAATGAGCCCTTCCACAGTTTCTCTGCCCACCGGGGGGGTTCTGGGTGGAAAGACCCAGGAAACACTGGGCTGTTGCTCAGAGTGGCTCTATGAATGTTCCAGGCCCCAGGGCCTCCTCCTGCCCTTCCACACCTGAAACCTCTGCCTGCTCTGCTCCCAGGCTCCCCAGCCCGCTCCCCACTCCAGGGCTCAAGGCCCCCGCATGGTTAGGAGGTGAAGCTCCCAGGTTGGAGCCTGAATACTTGGTGCCAGCCCCGCCCCCACATTGGCATTTGGCAAACCCACCAGCCCTGAACTCTGTCCCACTGGATCCCTTGAGAGGGAAGGGGACTTCAAGCATCTCGGCGATTACCCCTCTTGATCCTCTTCTGCCCACAGAGGGGGCTCCCATCCCGGTATAACTGTGTGGGCTGTGGGGGCAGAAGGGGCACTTCAGCGCATGCGCACGCGCTGCTCTCAGTCTCCTCTCTCAGCTGAGCTCTTCCAAGATCAGACCCTGTGCTCCGGGGTCCCCACCCACAGGCACCTCCTCTTCATCTAGTTGGCCTCAGGCCCCTGGAGGAGTATGGCTGGCGACTGAAATTCAACCTAGAGATAAACTTGTGTGTTGCTGTGTTTGTCCTTCGGGTTGAGATACCGGAGCCAAGTAACACCTCCGAGTGGCTAGACACTTCCAGACCCGCACTCGTCCAAGAACGTCCAGGAATGGGGAGATCACACAGTCAGGGCTGGGACCCAGTGGGTGGGCCCTCTGGCTTCTTCTGCGACTCCTTCCCACAATGATATCTAATGCATCGAGGGCTGGGCCTCCATGGCACGCCCCCTAGGCCGTCTCCCAGTCGCAAGAAGGGACCAGCCCAGACCAACCCACTGGAGAAGTTCATGATAAGTGAGAGCAGACTGGAGACCTCTGGGGCTCTGATGAGAGTCTCCTCATGCACACGGCCCCCTACAAGCGATCCTGGGAAGCTCCAAGCGCTTGGCCACTCTACCAGAAAGGTTTCCTGTGCTCCTACCGAAGCCTTCATCCCATTTCCGCGGTTCGGGAGCCCTGCTGGCTGAAGGGGAGCACCTGGGAGTCTCCACCACCCCACCACCCCACCACCCACCCCCAGCATGAAAACCCTAAAGAAACAGTGGTTAGAAGTACTGAGCATCTACCAGTATGTGCTCTGTTTCATCTTCCTGGGTAAGGGGAGCTGGGCAGGGGTCCAGTTGGGAAGGTGGGAAAGGGGAGGGTAGAGGGAGGAAGGCTGCAGCACCCGCTACTGGACCACCAGGGCAAAGGGAAGTGAAGGGAAGTGAAGCCTCTCAGTCCTGTCCCACTCTTCGGGACCCCACGGACTGTAGTCTACCAGGCTCCTCTGTGGATAGGATTTTCCAGTCAAGAATACTGGAGTGGGCTGCAATTTCCTTCTCCAGAGGATCTTCCCAACTCAAGGACTGAACCAGGGTCTCCTGCATTGCAGGCAGACGCTTTACCGTCTGAGCAACCAGGGAAGTCCAGGGCAAAGGGCTAGCAGGGAGACGGTCTAGCAAGGAGACAGGCAAGGATCTCACTGGTGAGGGTAGAAGGGAGAAATCATTGCGGCTTCACAATCTGAACCATTTTCCTTTCCCAACTTTCCCCAGGCCCTGTCTTTTCCCTTCTTGGCGTCTTCCTCCTCTTCACCTCGCTCTGGTGTTTCTCTCTTCTCTACTTGGTATGGTTATTCCTGGACTGGGACACACCCCAGCAAGGTGAGTGCTAAACAACGGCAGGAGGAGCAGGGGGTGAGAGGATGAGGTGGTTGGATGGCATCATGGACTCAGCGGACATGAGTTTGAGCAAACTCTGGGAAATAGTGAAGGACAGGGAAGGCTGGCATGCTGCAGTCCATGGGGTCACAGAGAGTCAGACACAACTTAGCAGCTAAACAATTACAAGGGCCCCAGTAGTGAGAGCTGATAAATGGTGTCTGTAGTGATTCTTCCCCCCTTATCTCTCTGCCCAAGGTGGAAGGCGTTGTCAGTGGTTGAAGAACTGCACTGTTTGGAAACACCTGAGCGATTATTTCCCCATTAAGGTAACAGGTCACCCTCCAAGGGATGCTCCACCCCTCCCTCTCCCTTACCTCCCCACCTCCCCTCTCCTCCCCTTGATGGATTCTCACCTCTGGCTGCTGAAGTTCAGGTGATGGGGCAGGGGGTGGGATGGTGTTCCAGAGTGGACCCTCGTGCCTTTGACCCCATCTTAGATCCTGAACTCTCAAGTCTCTTGATGTGGAGGGAAGTCCTTTCAGCTGATGTTCTGCCTTCTGTTTTCTTTCCCGCATCCTGCCCCCTGCCCCCACAGCTGGTGAAGACAGCAGAGCTGCCCCCAGACAGGAACTACGTGCTAGGGTCCCACCCACACGGGATCATAGCCATCGGAAGCTTCTGTAACTTCGCCACGGAGGGCACTGGCTCCTCGCAGCAGTTCCCAGGGATTCGGTTCTCACTGGCCGTGTTGAATGGCCTCCTGTACATGCCAGGCCATCGAGAGTACTTTCTGTCCTGTGGTGAGTTTGAGCTGAGTGACAGAGAGTGACCCCACCCCAATCTGGCCAGAGTGACCCCCACTCACCACCCACCCCAGGCACTTGGCTTGAATTGGCCAGGTTCCCAGTGGGGGTCAGGAGGTGGCTTGGCCCCAGAGTCCTGCATCCACGCTGGGAGAGTCACTGTAGGATACGTGGACAGGGGCACAGAGGTAGGGAGTTTGGAGAGAAGGGGGTGATGTCTGATACTTAGTGTGCTAAAGGGACAGGGGAGGGACTATGGAGCCAATGAGGGGGGCCTGACTGTTCCTGAACCTCCTCATGCCCACAGGAGTATGTTCTGTGAACCGTCAGAGCCTGGATTTTGTTCTGTCTGAACCACAGCTCGGCAGGGCTGTGGTCATCGTGGTCGGAGGGGCCAATGAGGCCCTGTATGCTGTCCCAGGGGAGCACTGCCTCACTCTCCGGAATCGTAAAGGCTTCGTCCGCCTGGCACTGAGGCACGGGTGAGTGGGTGCCCAGTCTGGGCTGCCTTCAATGGTCAGAACCTCACAGTGCGTCTGGTCATCTACCCTTTATCCCTACACGCCAGCCCCCTGGAGGTGGACTGTGTGTCCCCAGAGCTTACACTTTGACCACCTCTAGAGGACGCTCTAGGCGGACCTTGGGTGTTTCCTCTGTGCCCAGCTCTGGTGCCCATTCCCCAGGCTTCCTCCCACGAAGAGAGACAGACAGGGCCACAGTGGGAATGGCTGGACCCTGGGGGCTCGTATGCCCTTGACTCACGTTCTTTTATGATGCCCTCTAACAGGCAGACCTGCACACTTCTTACTTGTGAAACAGAGTTAATACCCACCTTGTCACCATGTTGTAGTTGAGACTGTATGTGAAAATGTATATAAAAAGGTCCAGTATACATTGGTCTTAAGAAATAGAATCCCTCCATCTAGATCTTTCTTGTAGAACCATCATTTGCTCCTAATGCCTAGGAAAGTGGTAACCTATGGGGGAGGAATTTGGGAGTGCTCCTCGAGCCCCTGATGTGACCAACCCTCTTCTCTCTTGCCCCTTCCCAGCGCCTCTCTGGTGCCCGTGTACTCCTTTGGGGAGAATGACATCTTCAGAGTTAAGGCTTTTGCCCCAGACTCCTGGCAGCGTCTGTTCCAGGTCACCATCAAGAAGCTCCTGACCATCCCTCCTTGCATCTTCTGGGGCCGTGGTCTCTTCTCAGCCAAGTCCTGGGGCCTGGTGCCCTTGGCCAGACCCATCACCACTGTGGGTGAGTGCCCGTGTCCAGGGAAGAAGGCCGCTATCCGCTGTGTATGCAGCCGAGGCCCTTCCCCTGACCTGAGTCCCCCTGTCCCTGCAGTGGGCCGCCCCATCCCGGTGCCCCAGTGCCCGCAGCCCACCGAGGAGCAGGTCGACCACTATCACACGCTATACATGAAGGCTCTGGAGCAACTGTTTGAGGAGCACAAGGAGAGCTGTGGCCTCCCGGCTTCTACTCGCCTCACCTTCATCTAGCCCTGGCCTCACCCCTGCGCCCTTCCCAGCCTGCCCCCCGCCCCCAGCCCCTGATCCCAGGGCCTGAGAACCCCACCTACTGCCACGCTACTGTGCCAATAAAAGTTCTCTCACCACTGCTTGAAAGAATCTCTCTCTCAAGCAAGTTTGCCCACGTGTGTTCCACCACCACACTAATCGACAGAGACTTGCCGATAGCAAGGCCCTGAGTTCTCCTCCCAGAGACTGAATTCTGCTCTATCACCCTCCATCTAGTCTCTTCCCTTGGCTGGGGCCTTTCTCCCTCTAAATAAAGGCATCTGCTTAGCTGAGAAACATAGGGCATCAGAATGATGTTGGGGAGGGCAGATCCCAACGGGCTAGGCTTTGAGGTGTGGACAGGATAGAGGTAGCTCAAGGAAATAGGGTAGTTGCTGAAATACTGTGAACAAAAGCTGCAAGGGTCAAGGGTACCTGTCAGTAGGGAGACTTCAAATGATCTCTTGTGATAGAAAAGAGAGTTTTAAGTACCTAGCTTCCTTCTGCATCTCCTCCCATCCTTCCTGTTCCCTGGGGGCTGGGAGATCGCATGATGCAGGGATTTATTTTACCATATGAAGCTCTACTGCAAGCCCAGCATTAGGTCCACATGATCTCATTCACCCAGTGAGAAGGGACTCTTCTCAAAATTACCTTATTAACATCAAAAAATTTAACAGAGTTTGGTAAAATAAGAGCCAATGAATTATCACCATCATGTCCAACACACCATCATCATCATAGTCATGGCACCAGTGAAATACCAAGGATCCCCTGAAACATTGGGAGGGACCTTATGTGGTCATAGCATCCTTTGACTTACATGCCTCCTATTTGCTGACTATGTTTGTGCCTGTATCCATGACTTAAATGAGAAGCCCTTGTTGGAAAGTAACTGAGTACACATCAATTTGCTCTCCCCCATGCTAGAAATTTTATTCAGTGGAAGGATTTTCTCTTGTCCAAGTGAAAACTCTTAGCAGTCTCATGAATTATCTGGGTTGTTCTCAGGTGACAAGTTCTACATTCACTTAACGTTGGTATCTAGAAATGTTCAGTTGGGTTAGCAATCAACATTTGAATCTGCATCTGAGGGTAGGAATTCCCTGGTAACTCAGGTGCTAAAGGTTTCCCTGGTGGCTCAGCCATAAAGAACCCAACTGGGAGGCAGGAGACCCAGGTTCAATCCCTGGATCAGGCAGATCCTCTGTTGAAGGGTGTAGCAACCCACTCCAGTATTCTTGCCTGGAGAATCCCATGGACGGAGGAGCCTGGCTGGTTACAGTAAAGTCCATGGGATCACAAATGATCGGACACAACTGAGCGACTTTCATTTCTTCAGCTGGTAACCAGCTGGCAATGCAGGAGAGTCTAGTTCGATTCTTGGGTCGGGAAGATCCGCTGGAGAAGGGATAGGCTACCACTTCAGTATTCTTGGGCTTCCAGGGTGTCTCAGACAGTAAAGAATCCACCTGCAAAGTGGGAGACCTGGGTTCGATCCCTGGGTTGGGAATATCCTGTGGAGAAGGGAAAGGCTACCCACTCTTGTTCTGGTCTGGAGAATTCCACGGACAGAGGAGCCTGGCAGGCTACAGGCCATGGGGTCCCAAAGAGTTGGAGACAACTGAGCGACTTTGACTCACAACAAGGGGGAGCTAGTTGCACCCAGGGAAGGGCAGAGAAAGAGGTGTAGCCACTGCTGAGAGTGGCCCTGCCACTGCCCCACGTTCCCTGGATCCTCCTCCTGCCCTTCCTCATGCCTATCCACGCTGTCAGTGAGACCAGCTTCTAGCTGCTCTGTCCCCAACTCCACCGCAGGCTCAAGGCCGCTGCATGGTCAGGAGGTGAGAGTCCCAGGACGGGATCTGAACACTTGGCGGCAGGCCTCGCACCCAGGCTGGACTCTGGCAAGGTGACCACCATGATCTCTGTCCCAGTGAATCCCTCGGAAGAGAAGGGGACTTGAAGGCATCTCAGCGACCACCCTTCTTGACTCCTCCTCTGCCCACAGTGGCAACCCCGATTAGGTTACAAGGAACCAGGGGGCCTACTCCCATGCAGATGGAGCCACGCACGCAGTTGTCCCAAGAGCTCGGGGCTCGGTACGTGTCCCCGCCCACAGGCACCTCCTCCTCACCTAGGCAGCCACTGGCCCCCTCAGTGACTCTGGGCAAGGACTGAAATTAAAGGTGGGAAAATACTTGTGACACTGAGATGTTTGACCTTGGGGATGAGATACTCTTTCCAAGCCACGTCTCCTGGTGGCCTTGACACTCCCAGAGACCCACAACCGGACGAGGGTGCTTGTCCAGGATCTTCGAGATCACACAGTCGGGGCTGGGACCTAGTGGGTGGGCTCTCTGGATTCTTCTGCAACCTCTGCCCCACAGGATTTTGGAGGCACCTGGAGGGGGACCTCAGTGGCATGCCTCCTGCCCCGCCTCCCTGCGCTACCCAGTGGCCAGCCCGGACTGACCCACTGGAGAAGTTCGTGATCAGTGTGTAGGGAGGCCTGAAACATCTGGGGTTCTGGACCCGAGTCTCCACATCCACACAGCCCCTGCAAGAGATCCCAGGAGGCCACAAGGGCTTGGCCACTGAGACCAGAAAGGCTTCCAAGACTCTTAGAGAAACCAGCATCCTTTTTCCGGAGTCCTGGAGTCCTGCTGGCAGAAGCGGAGCACCAGAGAGTCTCAACCGCCTGGCCGCCTTCCCCCACTATGAAAATCCTGCAGAAACAGTGACTAGAAGTACTGGACATGTACAAATACGTGCTCTGTTGACTCTTTCTGGGTAAGGGTAGCAGGGTGTGGGGTCCACGATGGAAGAAGGGAAGGGGGAGGGTGGGGAGGAAAATGCTACACCCCCCCACCCCATATCTGGACTCGAGGGGCAAAGGGAGTCAGCTGGGAGATGCCCAAAGATCTCATTTGTGAGCATGGAGGGGAGACGTAATTGTGGTTTCACAATCTAGGTCATTTTCCTTTCTCATCTTTTCCCAGGCCCTTTCTTTTCACTTCTTGCCTTCTTCCTCCTCTTCACCTCCCTCTGTTGTTTCTCTGTTCTCTACATGGTGTGATTCTTTCTGGACCAGGAGACAGCTCCCCAAGGTTACAAAACAAGGGCCCCGGTAGTGAGAGGTGATAAATGGTGTCTATAGTAATTCTTCCCCCCACCCCCATCTCTCTGCCCCAGGCAGAACAGGTTCTCCGTAGATGAGGAACTGGACTGTTGGAAACACCTGAGTAATTATTTCCCCATTAAGGTAACAGGTCACCCTCCAAGGGATGCTCCACTCCTCCCACTCCCTCACCTCCCCACCTCCTCACCCCTCCCCCGATTGACTCTCACCTCTGGCTGCTTAAGTTCAGGTTACGGGGCAGGGGGTGGGATGGTGTTCCAGACTGGACCCTTGTTCCTTCGACCCCATCTTAAGATGATCGTGAACCCTCACGTCTCTTGGTGGGGAGGGAAGCCCT